TTTTAGATTAAAGATTATCTAACATTTCATCTCTCAAACAATGGAAGTATTAAATAAATGGATCAGTCATTTCAACTTACATAAAATATTTCATAAATTAATGATTTTAATTAATCTGAATTAATCTTGATAATCAATATAACTTTTTCTAGAACTTCATAAGATGAACTCTTAATAATCAAATTTTTAAATAACTCTTTAATTTATTCAAATAAGGAATACTCTCAAATTGAAACAGAAATTTCTTGCCTTATACCAAAAGTTATATATATAGATGATGTCACAATTTATAATGTCTAAGTCACTACTTAGAGCAATACCTATATGCTTTACTCTATTGGAACAATGTGTATTGGATCAATCTTATTTGGAGGAGTTGAAATCTTTTTTAATTTGTTGGATACTCTACAAATACTATCTTATTTGAAATATATGAACACACAACTTCCCTATAATTTATAAACCTACTTTCAACTTTTTGGATTTGCTTAATTCAATTTCATCTAAAAGGTTTTTAATTTCTCAGGATATATTAATGAAATACTGAATAACAATGAGTTATAGAAGATACCAACAAAAGTAGCTAGTGATGATATGACATCACTATTTATTATTAATACTGCAACAATATCTATAGCTTGGATTTCTCTTTTTGGTATTTATGCAATTGCTAAATGTATACCTAAAATTCTATATTCAATCAAATTTAAATTTTATTCTGAATCTGAAACAGAAAACATATGGCTTATCAAACTTGGAGTATAAAAGAAATTTTATCATTGAAAAAAGATGTAATAGTAAAATGAGAAAATAAAAGAAAGAAAGAAAAGTGAAAAAATTAGAAGATTAATGAAAATAAGAATAATAATCATAAAAACCATTTTTAATTAATAATTAAAAAGTGAAAAGAACCGAGTGCTGTCTTTAGAAGATAGATTAAAAATTATGATTGAAAAAGGAAAAGAAATTCTGAGAATTCCAAGAATTTATTATACAAAGATTTCAAAGGAACTCAATTAAACTTTATATATAAAAAAAGATCTAATTTATATAAAATATTTTATTCATGTTTAAAATGGGATGTCTATAAGGTACTGTTTTCTATTCATCTAAGATTTTTTAATTCTCAGAAAATTAATTATTCAGATACTGATTAAAGAATCAAGAAAATATTCCTATATAAAATGAAGATGATCAAAATAAATAATAAAAATTATTTAATATTTTGACTCTATAAAGAAATATCATTGAATGCTGGATTAAATCTAAAATAAAAAAGGAAACTATATTCTATAATATTTAGTTTTATTCTAATAAAATAAATGGTAAATAATAAGATTTATAAAAATAAGATGGAAATACATAAGAAATAATTTTTCTATTTAATTGAATATGATTAAGATTTCAAATCAAAGTGTATTAATGGGATTTTTTGATAAATTTAAAATAAAGAAAATTATAATTAAATGGATAGAAGGTATTGTATTTTAAGGAAAGTCAAAATTTGTAAAATATAAAGTAAATTTGAAGACAGAGAATATATTTATAAGTCAAAGAATAAAATTAATAATCAAGTATCGAATTTTATAAAAATTATTCAAAGAATCATTATAATAGATGCATTAAGAAAATCAGTTAATATTTAAAATAATTAGAAGTTTGATATAGGTATAATTAATATATATAAAATAATGATTTTATGAAGTGTGTAAGAATAATAATTTTGATTAGTCAAAAGGAATTTTCATTAAAGGAAAATAAAATCATCAAATTAAAAAAAATACTATAGTTTTATAAGTGACAATTATTTCAATTTTTAATAATTTATAATTAATTTTTCTTTATATTATTTATAAAATCCTATTTACACCTTCAAATATAACTCATTATTTATTATTTAAAATGTTGTTCGGTGTATTTACAATCTACATTATTCTAATGAATTGTTTATGTAAGAACATCTTATACTATTATAGTGATTTGGACTTTATCTTGCTCATCTAATTGTTAAAGTTGTACAGTTCCTTACACATGTACCTAATGCAATGAGGGATTTTATGTGGGTGATTATTACCAATGTTATGCTTGTTCATCTAATTGCCAAGTTTGTAGTGGAGATAGTGGATCTGATTGCTAAACTTGCTTTCCAAAATTTTTTAAATCAGTCTCAAATTGTGAAGCTTGCCCGAGTTAGTGTTCTACTTGTACATCTAGTTTAGTATGTGAAACTTGTGAAGAACCAAACTTCATTATTGGAACTATGTGTTCTGTTTGTGATAATTCTTGTAAGACATGCTAAAATACTCCTACAACTTGTACATCGTGTGATGTTGGCGAATATCTTTCAAGTTCATCATGTCTTCTTTGTTCATCCCCATGTTCAAACTGTGTGAATAATTCAAATGATTGTTTATCTTGCATTGAAAGTAATAAAAAAGTAGTCGATTATTAATGTGTTTGTAATGATGGATATTACATGGATGGAGCAAATTAATGTTAACTATGCAATCCACCATGTTTTAAATGTGAATATAATGCTAATAATTGTTAGGAATGCATTGTTACTTTTACATTAAATTAAAATATATGTGAATGCTCATCTGACTCATTTTTATTTGATTCTAATTAATGTAAAAAATGTGTAAGTCCATGTTTAACTTGCAGATATAATGAGAATCACTGTTTATCTTGCTTGGATAGTAATTAAGTTGTAACTAATTAAAACCAATGTATTTGTAAAACTGGTTGGATTTTAAACAATGATGGTAACATATGCATAAAATGCCAATTATAATGTTCAGATTGTATAGATACAATAGATAAATGTGTTACATGTTAAGATCAATTACATTAATAACTTGATTCTTGTTAATGTGAACCTGGATGGATATATGACGATAATTATAACTGTATATCTTGTATAGAACCATGTAAAACTTGTGAGATATCTACTACTAATTGTTTGACATGTTTAGATATTAATCATGAGATTAATGAGATATAATAATGCGTTTGCAAATCAACTTATTATTCTGATGGTCTAATAACATGTGTAAAATGTTAAGAACCATGTTATGAATGTAACTCATACGGTTGTATCAATTGTATAGATGCAAATTAAATTTTAGATTCTAATAAATAGTGTGTTTGCAAATATGGATATCTCTCATAAGGCATAGAATGTCTGAAATGTCAAAATCCATGTTCTACTTGTATAAACACTATTAATGAATGTTTAACATGTTTGGATACAAATTCATATGTTAAAGATTATTATTGTTTATGTAAAGAAGGATTTGTGTAGAGGTTAGACTTTTGTTGCGATCAATATTGCATTGATTGTTAGGAAGCAGATAATTGCAATAATTGTATGAATGGGTTTTTTTTATCCACAACTAGACGATGTTTATAATGTATCGAGAATTGCGATGTTTGTTAAGATTAAATCACTTGTGATATCTGTTTAAATGGATACTTTTTAAATCAATCATCATAATGTGAAGCATGTTTTACTTCTTGTAAGATATGTAGCAATTCTAATAGTTGTGAAATATGTTTAGATGGCTATTATATATTAAATTAAAAATGTGAACTATGTAATGAAAATTGTTTAACTTGTAATGAATTACCTAAAAAATGTCTTACATGTTAATTCAATTTTGAAATTAATCCTAATAATTAATGTGTTTGTAAGGTAGGATACTATGAATAATAAAAATAATGTTTTAGATGTGAATATCCATGCAGTATTTGTTAAAGTAAAACAATTTGTTANAATAATTTATAATTAATTTTTCTTTATATTATTTATAAAATCCTATTTACACCTTCAAATATAACTCATTATTTATTATTTAAAATGTTGTTCGGTGTATTTACAATCTACATTATTCTAATGAATTGTTTATGTAAGAACATCTTATACTATTATAGTGATTTGGACTTTATCTTGCTCATCTAATTGTTAAAGTTGTACAGTTCCTTACACATGTACCTAATGCAATGAGGGATTTTATGTGGGTGATTATTACCAATGTTATGCTTGTTCATCTAATTGCCAAGTTTGTAGTGGAGATAGTGGATCTGATTGCTAAACTTGCTTTCCAAAATTTTTTAAATCAGTCTCAAATTGTGAAGCTTGCCCGAGTTAGTGTTCTACTTGTACATCTAGTTTAGTATGTGAAACTTGTGAAGAACCAAACTTCATTATTGGAACTATGTGTTCTGTTTGTGATAATTCTTGTAAGACATGCTAAAATACTCCTACAACTTGTACATCGTGTGATGTTGGCGAATATCTTTCAAGTTCATCATGTCTTCTTTGTTCATCCCCATGTTCAAACTGTGTGAATAATTCAAATGATTGTTTATCTTGCATTGAAAGTAATAAAAAAGTAGTCGATTATTAATGTGTTTGTAATGATGGATATTACATGGATGGAGCAAATTAATGTTAACTATGCAATCCACCATGTTTTAAATGTGAATATAATGCTAATAATTGTTAGGAATGCATTGTTACTTTTACATTAAATTAAAATATATGTGAATGCTCATCTGACTCATTTTTATTTGATTCTAATTAATGTAAAAAATGTGTAAGTCCATGTTTAACTTGCAGATATAATGAGAATCACTGTTTATCTTGCTTGGATAGTAATTAAGTTGTAACTAATTAAAACCAATGTATTTGTAAAACTGGTTGGATTTTAAACAATGATGGTAACATATGCATAAAATGCCAATTATAATGTTCAGATTGTATAGATACAATAGATAAATGTGTTACATGTTAAGATCAATTACATTAATAACTTGATTCTTGTTAATGTGAACCTGGATGGATATATGACGATAATTATAACTGTATATCTTGTATAGAACCATGTAAAACTTGTGAGATATCTACTACTAATTGTTTGACATGTTTAGATATTAATCATGAGATTAATGAGATATAATAATGCGTTTGCAAATCAACTTATTATTCTGATGGTCTAATAACATGTGTAAAATGTTAAGAACCATGTTATGAATGTAACTCATACGGTTGTATCAATTGTATAGATGCAAATTAAATTTTAGATTCTAATAAATAGTGTGTTTGCAAATATGGATATCTCTCATAAGGCATAGAATGTCTGAAATGTCAAAATCCATGTTCTACTTGTATAAACACTATTAATGAATGTTTAACATGTTTGGATACAAATTCATATGTTAAAGATTATTATTGTTTATGTAAAGAAGGATTTGTGTAGAGGTTAGACTTTTGTTGCGATCAATATTGCATTGATTGTTAGGAAGCAGATAATTGCAATAATTGTATGAATGGGTTTTTTTTATCCACAACTAGACGATGTTTATAATGTATCGAGAATTGCGATGTTTGCTAAGATTAAATCACTTGTGATATCTGTTTAAATGGATACTTTTTAAATCAATCATCATAATGTGAAGCATGTTTTACTTCTTGTAAGATATGTAGCAATTCTAATAGTTGTGAAATATGTTTAGATGGCTATTATATATTAAATTAAAAACGTGAACTATGTAATGAAAATTGTTTAACTTGTAATGAATTACCTCAAAAATGTCTTACATGTTAATTCAATTTTGAAATTAATCCTAATAATTAATGTGTTTGTAAGGTAGGATACTATGAATAATAAAAATAATGTTTTAGATGTGAATATCCATGCAGTATTTGTTAAAGTAAAACAATTTGTTATGGTTGTATAACTCTATCTAATTTACACTTAGATATAAATTTTTAATGCAATTGTAATTCAGGGTACTTTTGGAATAATATCAGCTGCTCTTAATGTTATTAATCTTGTTTAACTTGCATAGATAATTAATTTAATTGTTTGAGTTGTGATTCAAGATTAAATCGAGTTTTAAAAAATAAAGAATGCGTATGCTCTTAAAATTATTATGAAAGTGAGAATGGAGATTGTATTTCATGCTTAGATTCAATATCGAAATCTTAAGAAAATTGCAAATATTAAGATTGTAATGATTTAATTTGGACTTATGGAGAAGAATGTGATGATGGAAATGATGTAAATAGAGATGGTTGTTCTAATTGTAAGATTGATGATAACTATTCTTGCTCTAATAAAATACTAGAGTAATCGATTTGTTTTCAATGTTCGACTAATTGTCTTAAATGCCAACTGAATCTTTAGACAAATAAATCTTAGTGTATATTATGCTAAAGTGGTTATTTCTTAGATAAAAATGCTTGTGTTGAATGTTCAATCAACTGTTTAGAGTGTATTGATTAAGCTTATAATTGTAAAACTTGTAAGTTTCCATAATAGTACAATCATAAATGTAAATTGTGTGAATCTGGGTATTATGCAGATGAAATAAATAGAGTTTGTGTAAATAATTGTGGAGATAACATAAAAGTAAAGGAGGAGGAATGCGATGATGGAAATATTCTTAAAGGTGATGGGTGTGATGATTAATGTAAACTTGAAAATAAATACATATTTCTAAATGGTTTAAGTATCTTACCAAATTATCCAAAACCATTATTATAAACTATTGGCATTTCTTAAATTTACTCTACTATTCGATTATTTAAATTATATTATACTTCTCCCTTATTTATTACTGATGGTTTTTAGATTAAAGATTATCTAACATTTCATCTCTCAAACAATGGAAGTATTAAATAAATGGATCAGTCATTTCAACTTACATAAAATATTTCATAAATTAATGATTTTAATTAATCTGAATTAATCTTGATAATCAATATAACTTTTTCTAGAACTTCATAAGATGAACTCTTAATAATCAAATTTTTAAATAACTCTTTAATTTATTCAAATAAGGAATACTCTCAAATTGAAACAGAAATTTCTTGCCTTATACCAAAAGTTATATATATAGATGATGTCACAATTTATAATGTC